GTGAGTACAACCAATGAACTCAAGAAAGAAGAGCAGCATGGGAAGCTGGGGAGTATGCCAGCCTGGGTGGGAGGGAAGAGGGGACGATGCCAAGAGGGGCCAGGTTTCCTGGTTAGTGCATCATAGTCATGAGTCAGATCTGCTTATGAGCATAGCAGGCCAGGCCATAGAGAGGTGTGATGTTAGGGTCATCAAAAGACCTCCCCACCTCCATGAATCTATCAATATCTTTGACTGTAGTGCTAGAAATTTCATGCTTTTTTAGAGGAGGGAGGGATCTTGTTAAATGCAGATATTTCACAAGGAAAATTAGCACCTTAAGACATTGTCTCCTACCAAGCGTCATAGTAGGGCAGCTAGATGGCTCAGGAGACAGAGTGTTGGGCCTGGAGTCAGAAAGCCCTAAGTTCAAATCCGGCCTCAGACACTTACTCGTTGTGTGACACTGGGCAAGTCACTTAACCTCTGTTTGCCCACTGGAAGAAGAAAATGACAAATCACTCCAGTATTTTTGCCAAGAAAACTCCATGGACAGTTATTGGCATGCTATGGTCTGCGGGGTCACACAGAGTTGGCTGTGACTGAACAACAACAAAGCATGGGGATGTGGTTTTTGTTGCAGGGGGAAAAACTAACCACTCTGGACCTCAGTTTCCTCTTCTGTAAAAATGAAAAGATTAGACTAGATGACCTTTAAGGCCCTTTCTAGTTATTAGTGTGTTAGGAGCCTATAATTAAGTATAAAACAGTCCTAGTTCTGGAGCCAGATGACTTGAGTTCATATATCCTATCTCTGGTGCTTTCTCTTATACTTGTGCAACCTTGGACAAGTCACTTCACCTCTGTGCCTCAGTTTCCTCATCTGTAAAAGGAGGCAGTTGGACTAGATGGTCTCTGACTGATGATCTGCTCTCTAAGGACCCTTCCAGATCCAGATCCATGATCCTATGTCTCTGGATCAATTCCTCAGATTAGCCAGCTGTCACCTAGCAGAGAAGGGATGAGGCACAGGCCTGTGATTAAATTTTGATAGGGAAGAAGCAGAGGTCAGGAGGGATGAGAGATTGTTGAGGTAAAACAGACTCCTGAGTGAGGGGTGGGGGGCAAATGGTGGGGGGTGAGGAGGTAGAACACTTGGTAACAGATAGTAGAGTGAAGTCATTGAAGCAGCTAGGTGATGCAGTGCAGAGAGTGATGGGCCTGGAGTCAGGAAGACCTGAATTCAAATCCAGCCTCAGATACTTACTAGGTGTCTAACCCTGGGCAAATCACTTAACCTCCATCTGCCTCAGTTTCTTTAACTCCAAAATTAGTATAATGATAGTCCCTACCTTGAAAAGTTCTTGTGAGAATCAAATGAGATCATATGTATAAAGCACTCAGCACACAGTAGGTGCTTAATAAATGCTTGTGCCTTCTTTTTCTTCCATTACTTAGTATTGATGATTGGGGAATGATATGCAACATACTATAAACCGAGTGGGAGTAAGAATGGTTTCATTTTTGTCTTTGTATTCCCAGTGCTTAAGCACAGTGCCCAGCACATAGTAGGTACCTAATAAAATAGTTCTTGAATTAAATTGACAGAAAAATCATTTCACAGTTTTGCTAAGGGCAAAGGCTGCTTGGTTCATTTAGGTAGCTGGTGTGGTAGAGTGTGGTCGGCTGGTTTGTTTCATTGATTTGTTTGTTGGTTTGTTTCATTGATTAGGCCCAGCTGCTCCGCCTAATATTTGAATTGAATTGAATCAAACTGGTTAGTTGTTGGAGCTGCTGTGGGGGAATGGGGTTTCCTGGTCTGGAGCTTCAGTAGTGGCTGGGGGCAGGGAGAGGAAGGGCCTCTGGCCACCTTGGGTAATGTCATACCAGGGACTCAACTGTCCCTAAGAGTTACAGTTGGATAGACTGGGGAGAAAAATAATAATAATAGTTTTTATATAGGGCCTTTTATATATGTGACAGGCACTGTGCTAAGCCCATTACAAAATATACTCATTCTATCCTCACAATAACCCTGGAAAATAAGTGCTATTATTATCCCCATTTTTACAGTTGAGGACACTAAGGCAGACAGATGTTTAGTGACATGCCCAAGGATTCAGAGCTAATAAGTGTCTGAGGAGGCTAGATTTGAACTTAGGTCTTCCTGACTAATATCCCATCCCAACATCTCTTTCTTATTCCCCCTCTAGCTTCATGCCCATGAGTCTCTAATTTCAAAAGGCAGATAAGACAGGAAGATCTTGAAGAGTATTCACTAATTGACCTTAAAGTCAAACTACTTAATAAAAGGGAAAAAATCCGAATACCAAACAGCTCAGACGTATAAGCTCGAATTCGGCACACTTTTATTAAGTACCAATGGTTTGTTATTAGGAAAAAATACAAAATCCTCTGATTGGCATTTAAAGGCATCTTGGTTCCAGCCTATCTTTCCAGGCTGATTTTATATATTACCCCCCTTCACACAGTCTACACTCAGCCAAACTAGCTGTATTGTTAGCCCACCTCTGTGTCTTTGCCCAGGCTGTGCCCCATGCCTGGAACATTCTCCTTCTTCACCTCCAACTCTTGGGATCCCAAGTTTCCTTCTGAGCTCATGGGCTAGCTCTTACCTGAGATCTTTCCAGACCCTTCAACTGCTAGTGCATCCCCTCAAAAATTTACCTTGTATTGATGAAAACGCACATTCACTAAGTGTAGCTATGTGCCTTGCACTGTGCTAGGTGCTTTACAAATATTATCTCACTTGATCCTCATAATAATCCTGGGAGGTAGGTGCTATTATTATCCACATTTTACAGCTGACAAAACTGAGGCAGACAGATGTTTAGTGATTTTCCCAGGGTCAGATAGCTAATAAGTGTCTGAGGCCGGGTTTGAATTGAGGTCCTCCAAATTTTAGGCAGCTAGGTAGCAAAATAGATAGAGTGCCCAGCCTAGAGTCAGGAAAATTCATTTTTCTGAATTCAAATTTGCACTTGCAGACACTTACTAGCTGTGTGACCCTGGGCAAGTCACTTCACCCTGTTTGCCTCAGTTTCCTCATCTGTAAAATGAGTTGGAGAAGGAAATAGCAAACCAATTCAGTATCTTTGCCAAGAAAACCCCAAATGGGCTAATAAAGAGTCATACATGACTGAACAACTTCTGAATTCCAAGGCCAGAAGCCTGTCTACTGCACTAATTGCCTCCATTGATTTTGTGTATAGTGTATATTTATTTTGCTCAGTCAATAAACATTTATTAAATGCCTACTACGTGTAGGCACCTTGCTAAGCATTGGGGATACAAAAAGAGGCAAGGAGCCTACAATCTAATAGGGGAAAACAACCTGCAAACAAATATATACAAAGCAAGCTATCTACAGGGTAAATAGGAAATAATTTAAAGAAGGAAGGTACTGGAATGAAGAGGGTTTGGGGAAGGCTTCCAGTAAAAGAAAGGATTTTAGATGGGACTTAAAGGAATCCAGGGAGGTCCACAGGTGGATTGGAGGAGGGAGAGCACTCCAGGCACAGGGGACAGCAAGAGAAAATGGCAGGAGCCAAGAGATGGACCAGCCAGGAGGCCAGGGTCACTGGATCAAAGAGGACATGTGGGGAGTAAGGAAGATTGGAAAAGTGGGAGGGAGTTATGAAAGGATTCAAACAGAACATTTTGTGTTTGATCCTGGAGACAATAGGGAGCCACTGGAGTTTACTGAGTAAGAAAGTGACGTGGTTGAACCTGTACTTTAGGAAAACCACTTTGGTGGCTGACTGGAGCATGGCTTGGAATGGGGAGAAGCTTGAGGCGGGCAGACTCACCAACACGCTATTGTAATAATCAAGGCCCAAGGCCATGAAAGCCTGCACCAGACTGATGGCAGCATCAGAGGAGAGAAGGGGGAGCATTGGAGAGATGTTGCAAAGGTGTAATCACCAGGCCTTGCCAAGAGCTTGGATGTGGAGAGAGGGTGAGAGATAGTGAGGAATCCAGGATAACTCCTAGGTGGAGAGCCTGGGTGTTGCCCTCTAGAATAATAGGGAAGGTAGGAGCAAGGGAGGGTTTGGGGGAAAGACAATGAGTTCCACTTTAGACATGTTGAGGGTAAGATGTCTACTGGATATCCAGTTTGAGATGAAGGAAAAGCAGTTGGAGATTCAAGATTGGAGGTCATCATGGAAAATGCTATCCGCATCCAAAGAAAGAACTATGGAGTTTGAATGCAGATCGAAGCATACTGGTTTTTTTTTTTCCTTCTGTTGTGTCTTGTTTCCTCTTTCTGGTGGTTCCTCCTATTGGTTCTAATTCTTCCTTACAACATCACTAACATGATAATATGTTTAATAGGAATGTAAATGTATAGCCTATAGCAGATTGTGAGCAGTCTTGGAGAAGATAGTGGGGAGGGAGGGGGAGAAAAATTTTAAACTCAAAAGCATATGGAAGTGATTGTTGATAAATCAAAATAAATTAATTAAAAAAAAGATTGGAGGTCATCAGGGAGTTTTGGGTGGGAAAGGTAGGTTTGAGAATCAACATAGAGATGGTAATTCAATCCATGGGAGCTAATGAAAAGTAATGTGTATGTAGAGAAAATGGCCCCAGCCAGAACCTTGAGGGGTTACCTACAGCAAGAAGGTCTGATCTTGGGGAGGATTCAGCAAATGAGACTGAGAAGGAGCCATCAGATAGGTAGGAGGAGACTGTGGTGTACTGAAAACTTAGAAGACAGTAACAAGGAGGAGAGGGCGGTGTTTCCCCCAATAGAACGCAAACTCCCTTGGCGAGGGAACTTTTGTTTTTGTTTTTGTTTTTATATCCACTTTGCCTACCACGGTGCCTGGCCTGTAGTAGTTGCTTAATTATGTTTAATTAATGATCCACTAATTGCCTCATTAAGAGTAACCTAATTGGGAGGCCAAGTGATGTCACCCTTGCCCAAACATTTTCAGAATTCTCTTTGGAACTTACCTTCAGGGCCATGTCCCGTAAACCAATTTGTCTTGTTACCT